TTGGACTGCTTCTTTAAAAGGCATTTATTAGTCCACTACTCTAATTCCCTACGGAGTTCTTTAGAGCTTAAACCATATTACATTCCAGACTGTATAATGCTAAATATTTAAAAACTTTTGTTTTTTTTAAACCCACTGAGAAGAATGCAAGCTCAGTGGTGGGCTTATGTCAGTCCTTTTGTGGAACTGCTACAAAAAATCCGCTTTCTTATTCCCTCCCAAACTAACTGAAGCAGATGTTGGAGTCTAATAAATGAAGTCCTTGAGACTTTATTACATTTTGAAAGGCCTGCTGCGTGAAGATTAAAATGCTGTAGCTAATAGGCACCTTTTTTTGGTAAATGCTAACTGGAATTTACTTTTTGTCAAAATGTTTAGAAACAGTAACTTCTTTTTCCTTATGTGATTTTTTTTCACTTGAGCAGGTAACTGTTCTGTTGTGATGGTGCTCTTTACTATTAAAGCTAAAAATGAGATTTTTGATGTGTGAAATGTTTGGTGTTGGTGTTGCTTTTAAATAAGCCATAATGATTAGGAGATTGTTCAAAGTTGTCATCTTCAACCTGTCTTGTCTTTAAAAGCAATCTCTGAAAGACAAACTCCAGAGTTTGTAGTAGGTGGTGGTTTTCAACAATACATTTTTTTTTTCCCCCCAAAAGAAAACAAGCCACAATAAATTACTGCTTTTCAGGGAGCTTGTTAGTATTTAGCTATTGACTGCTTTGATTCAGACAAGTAGCTGAACCCCTCTTAGAGTAATAACAGGAAAATTAGATTAAGCGTTTTGATTTGCTGTTGAAAATGTTCACAGTTCTTGCTTCCTGTTAGAAGCTGTAGAAACGTGTTAAACTGACTGTTGTTAAACTGATTTCTTTGTAGTATATTTTTGTTTAATATTAGATAAAATAACAGATTTGAGCATAGTTTCCTCATGAAGTTATGTGGGCAGTCAGCCGTGCGAGTGTGGCAATGGAGAGGTAATAAAAAGCTGCAATGTTTTGACAGCTTCCACCAAATTTGCATTATTTCAGGATGAAAGTATAAGGAAATTAATTTATTTTGTTGTTTCATCCTGATTTATTACAGTACCTGAATTTTGTACGTCATCCAAATTGCATACTCTCAACTGAGACAAAAATAATCATGTATTTGGTAGGCACTAATGCTATTCCACGCTTTCACCATATATTAATGTGGTAGAAAAAGTATTAAGAAAATTCATGATTTTATTCAATGAGTGTGCTGCCCTGGAATGTCAGAATATCAGCTTTTGTTCACAGTAGCAGAAGTACTGCTACAGAGTGCTGTGTCAACACTGTGGGGTTTTTTTACACACCGTCGGCTTGGCTCCTAGTAAAGCTCTCCGCTTACCATGCGCTTCGTGTTCCTTCACAGCAAGGCTGTTCATTGCTGCCTTAGTCAATAATATGACCCCCCCCCAGCTTTAACCAAGCCTGTAATCTTTAATGACACTGAAATTTAATGTAGGTTTTCCCCCCCTCCTTTTGTTTACAGTTACTTTGAAGAGTTCATTCCCAAGAGAGCTTTTATTTTTAGGACTGCCTTGCTTTTTGCATGTACGTTTGGTTTCATTAATGCATAACGTGTGTTCAGCTGATGTCTTGTTAACAATGTAATGGTGTTGGTGAGTCTTGAAACTGAGATACTGAATAAGGGCTTCTTTGTCATGTATGGGTGGTGTACCCAGCTTCTGCCTGCTTACTGCTAAGTGAGAAGTAACACTAGGAAAGAAAAAAGTTGTGAATGGAAAGTGTTTTACACAGATGGTATGCTTATGAGTGCCCATTTGACAGGCTATGGGGAAAGTTTAGCTGAGGGACTTTATTTTCAGCTCTTCCAGGAATAACTTGTATAACTTTTTTACTTACTGTATCAAAAAGAGCTTGTTTTTTGATAACTGAGAAGACATGCATGGATTTATTTACTCATAAATCTCTCTTGTCCATTTAGGCTGAGATTGATATTTAATGTGTAAGCAAAGTGATAGTCTTGTAAATAAAATTCCATAATCTTTTGGGATTGGTTTTTTTTTCTGGGGGGAACTGTTAAAAACACTGCAGGATATAGGCAGGTTAGGTGGAAAAGCTGTAGGAAGGGAATTAAGTAGAACATTTCTTAAAGGTCTAGGACCATGTAGGTAGGACAGATTTTTTTTTTAATTTTTTTTTTTTTTTTTTTTTACAAACATACTACTTTGCTTATCGTAGATTGATGTGATGGTCTGGAGGGGGAGCTAGTAATACATTTGAACATTTGGAAGACCATAAGCAGGCTTCTAATAATTTTTCTCTGTGTGAGCCAGTGTGACATTCTGCACTTCATAAAGTAGCTGATTTTGTGTAAATTATCATAAAGATATGGAATGGTGCATTTTTGAGCCTATCACTTGATGTACTTAAAGTATTTGCTCCAAACAGATCACCCTAAGATTTGTACAGAAATAATAAAATACATTAAAAACTGACAAATTTTTCATGAGCCTTTTTTTCTTGGAAATGGCTAAATAGTATTTTTAAAAAATCAGTTTGGGGAAGACAAACTTTCATAGAAAATTTCAGCCCAATGGGCTATGCAACTGAAAACAACCAGTGGTACTGGTGATGTGAAATACTATGGTACCACTATTGAACATCAAGTCAGATTGTGAGTTTTCAGTGGAACTATGAATGTGTCTTTCAAACTTGAAATGGAAACTAGTCAACAGAAGGGAAGATGTGGCAGAAGAGCTGTTCCCGTTTTGCTCTCAGCTACGTTCTCAGTCTTTGCTTCTGTTGGGTGGTCTTTGGTGCGCTTTCCTAGGTGCTTTAGGCATAGAAAAGGGAAGGCATCTGGGCAGCCTTTCTACATCCCTTTTCAGAAGCCTGCATCTTCTATTAATTGTGAAGACTGGAATCCAAAGAATCGGGAATGTGAAGAGACATCTTGGCAGCGTTGCCAGTATGGTAGTATTGGGTATGGCTTACTTGGTGGTCGAAAAAGAGGAGAGTGGTGGGAACAGTGAAAGCGAATGTGTTTGTGTAGATGTGAGCCTGACTGAGACTGGCGAGATGGATAGTTTTCAGCTGGGCTGATGAACTTTAAAGGACTGTTTCTGCAATTTTATTTTTTCAAGATGGCAGTATTTTAGCTTATTAAATGTAAAACAATGACATGTAATAGTTGCACTGTAGAGCTGAAAACATTTTTGAAATGTAACCTTGAAGAAATGTCCTGTAGCTCTGGCAGTCCCTCTGTTTAAATTTGTTGACTCAACAGTCTTTATCATCATGTAATTAAATGCTTATAATGGTTAAGAAGAACTATACAGAAAACAAACAAGAATATTTTTCAGACTTGCTTAAACTTGAAAATAAGCTGTTCATCTCTGTGTTATGGTAGAAAAGTTCCAAAGCACAAAACTGTGACAGTTTTTTTTCGTGTAAATCATGTTTGTGCAACTGCTGTTGATAGTTAAAAATAAAACAAATTTCTGCATAAAACAGAAAAAAAACCCCTAAACCCCAACCCCCCAAAACATCCCTTTCTATTCCTGTAAGGTTCTTTTTGTCCCTTTGGTCTGGGAAGTTTCTTAGAGGTGGTTGATTTTTTGGGGGGTTGGCAATTAACAGAGACAGAGAAAAAATAACAACATATTCTTGCTTTCTGAACAAGTGAATTTCTTCCATGTGTGCCTGATAATGTGGTAAACAATACGAATGTATACATGCTCAGTAAAATACTTGAGGCACAGACCAGTTTTGAATGGTGTTCTTTGAGTTTAAGATGACCAAAAAGTATTGCTATAACTAAAACATTACTGCATGTGCTAATCTGAGGATTCCATTCTTGGTATTTTCTGTGTTTTTTATGAAGTAGGTAATGAACTGAACGTACATGTAAGTAGATTACATCATCTCTTCATGGCTACCACCATCATCTTTCTAGATCTTCTCTCTGCGTTGTTGTTTTAGATGTAAGATCCGAGCAGATTTCTCTGTAAAATGCAATGTATTATTTCATTTAGATGCTATACTTCTTTTTTTGCATGTTAAGTACCTTTGTGAAGCCTTAATTTTCTCTCATCTTTATTTATATAACATAGAAAATGTTTTTTTACAGTGAATAACCACTGCTAAGTAATTCCTTCACAAATTTCTCCATACTACTTCCAATTTATAATTTTGAATCATGCAAAGATTTTTGTGATCTCTGATAAACTGCTGGAAAATAGGAGCTTTCTATTTGGGCTTGTAAAATTCACGTGTTGTACTTGTTTTCTGTTGATCTTATGAAAAACATATGGAAATAAAAAAATATCAAAAGATACTGTCAGTTAAATTGCCAATTCATGGTACACTTTTACCTGTAATATATTTTTTGTATGATACTTATTCACAATTGTCATCATCACTTAATCATGTGATGTATTAAATACACATCATCATACTTCATCAGAAGTCTTATTGGCTAGTTCTGTCATTTCAGTGAACTGTGACAAGATCAGATGTATAATTTAACCAAAACTGCTATGGACTGTAATTTATTTAAAGGTTCACTGATTTCTTTCTCTAGATAATTTGCTTTGCTTTGTTGAGATTAAAAGAGGAAGCTTTAGGTTTTAAATCCCCCCCGCCCCCGGTTCCCAGGTCTCCCTGTCTTTCATTAATGTAATATATTTGTGTTTTGATGCAAAACAGCTCTAGGCTATATTAATGATGACTCGATGACTTTGTTTTATGATATTGACTGTTCTTGATTTCATCATCCCATTTAGATGTGGAGTCTGCTATTAGATCTTCTGGACTCAACAGTCCAATGTGTGGAAGAAACATTTTTGGTGGTTGAAGTTGATACTTTTGCAAGATCAGTACACAGTTTCCATTATATCATGAAGTATTCTGAACATACTTGTCTGGGTGGTTTTTTAATTTAGATAGTTGTCAGATACAATTAAATATTTCCCATCTGCATTCTAATAATGTGATTATTTAATTCAGGGTTTCATATGATGAGGCTTTTATTATGGCCAGTGACCCCTTGGAAGGCTTTCATGAAGTGAACCTCGCTTCGCCTACAACACCAGATCTTCTTGGAGTAAATGAGCCAGGGACTCAGGAACAAACTACCTCACCCAGTGTTATCTACCGACCTTCTGTTGTGTCCTCCACACCAATCCAACCCAATGCATTAAATGTTTCTGACCTTCCCACACAACCTGTTTATTCATCTCCCAGACAGCTGAATTGTGGAGAAGCGTCAGGTGTCAGGTAAGTGCTGTGTGTCTTTTTATTTAAATTGCTGGTTTGTCGCATATAAACTGCTTGCTTTTCTAAAGGTATAATTTTAATATTACTTACAGTGTTGTAATACTGAATTGTGTCCATAATAGTACGTTCAACACTACTACTGCCATTTCTAAAATAATTCTTCTTAATGTGTTATATAAATAAAAAAATATATTACTCTCTTTACAGCATCAATGTTACCGACGCAGTACTCTGTTCTACCTCTGGACCCCAGGGTGGGTCATTCAATCAGAATAATTCCAGAAAGGAGAGCAATAACGCAGAGAGAGAGTTTTTGCAGGGTGCTACAGTAGCAGATGTTGCTGAAGGAAATGAAGATATTTTTGGGTTGAGTACAGACAGTTTATCTCACTTACGGAGCCCATCTGTACTGGAAGTAAGAGAAAAGGGCTATGAAAGATTGAAAGAAGAACTTGCAAAAGCTCAGAGGGTAAGGCTTGTTGTCTTGTCTCCTCCTGCTTTTTCTCTCTTCAGAGTGGTTCTAGTATTGCAGAATGATAGATGGGCCAGAAGGTACAGTCCGAGTCTACTCATTTCTTATAGAATTATTAGGATGTAATTATTTTATGTAAAGTTATTCTGAATGTGTGCAGTGCTAATGTCTTAGAATTATTCTTTGGTAGTGTTTTTTTCTAGTGCTGCTGCTACTTAACCATGGAAAGCTTTGCTGCAGTATCTGGTTAAACATGCTTTTTTCTTTGAAATGTAGACCATTCCTTCATTCTGACATTTGAGAATAAGAGTAATTTTCTGTCATTCCATTGTTACTGTATAAGTATTTATAGATGCTGATTATATACCTCTCGAGACTTCTTTCTCCTGGAGTATAAAAGTCACGGAATATAGAAATGCTTTAGAACAGGGGTACTTGTGATGTTTCACAGGGGAATGCCTGCATAGGAAAGAAGCAATAAAGATGTCACTGGTGTTCTTTAGAGTACTGTTACACCGCACTTCAAATTGAATATGGATACCTTTGAAGACACTGTGGCTCGATTCGTTAATATTTGTAAAGCGCTTTGTCTTGTTTGGATGAATGGTGCTATATAAATGCAAAGCCATTATTTATCATTTTAACATCGCTCTGTGCTTACACTTTCAAGTAGATCTGTGCTGTTTGTATCTGTGCCCTTTCCTCTACATGATTCCATTCTTGCTTAGGTTTAAGCTCATCTTATGTTGTGTTGGAAGTTGTTTTCCTCTGTTTGTTGCTTCATCTTGTTGAATGTAGTCATAATTTCTGTCATAGTTGCATCTGACGTTGTTAATGTGCATCTTAAATATGGATTCTGACATCACTGCTTCTGTTGATTGTTTTATTGCTCAGTAGTTGCTTCCTTTGCTGATGTGTTCATTTGCTTGGCATTTGACCACTGAAAGGAAACATTAACCTGAGCTAAGTTTGAAGACCTTGCATGTGAATATATAATCCTAGCAGTTAAAATTGGAACCTTAAAAGTAAGAACAAAATGAAGTTTAATATTTAGAAAAGCTCTTCCAGCTCCTGACAGTATACCAAAGTACAGGTAATGTACTTGAAAATTGCTACTCAGATCTGCTGCAGTTACCTTGGAATTATCTGAAAATCTTATTCCGGTGTATACCACTTCATCTCTTAAAGATTGAAATGTTTCCTGTTCTACTCCGAAATTTGTTGAGGTCATTTTTAAGGAAATGGCATTAAGGCTGCTAGGACATACTAGCTGCATGTTATGTATTTTCAAACCCTTTGGGTCGTCTTAACAAAAGCGATTCAGGACTAACTTGAGACTTGATGTCAAAGTTCTTGCTAATTCTCAACCTGTCAGGTTGATTCTTACCAGTGTTATGCTGGATGGATAACTTATTTTGTCTGCTTGTCTTCCTAAACTTGCACTGTTTCAGAATTGCTCAGTAACACAGGAGTCATCGTAGCAGGAGTCGTTACAGATTGTACAACAATAAACAGTATTCCTTCTGTAATATCTACTCTCTTCCACTTCCTGTATAAGGACTAGTTTTTTCTATCCCTAATTAATCTGTGATTGCTTTTTTCCAAAAGCCATGACTGTTCACCTAGGGCTGTGCCCACTCTGCAATATTCAGTATATCATGCAGTCTTTAAACTTTTATTTCCAAGTATATTCTGAGTATTTTAAACAGAGTACTCAGTTTAAAAATCTGTAGGGATATAATTAATAGGTCGTAGCTGTGTATAGCTGGTTATTTTTTGCATAATGATTTTAAATTCTCTGTAAGTCTGTGTGCTGTTTATTAGGAACAGTGAGAAAAATGAGAATTACAATTTGCTCTTGAATTTTGTGAGCTCATTGAACCTGGAAACCTTACAGACTACATACTTCTCAGGAGTGAACAAAGTAAACACAAATTTGCTATCTTGCATTTTTCATTTGTTCCAAATTTTTTACCCAAACTGTATGCTATTGTAATATGCATTAAAGATTGATTTGAATTTGTTGCAGTTGTGATCAGAAAGGGAACAAGAAAGCAAATAGGAATTTTGAAGCTTAGGGATCCACTATGTAATTTTTTTTTCATGTCTCTGCTTGTAGTGCAACTTTTTTCTTAATATGCTCTGTTTTTTATATTAGAGAATACATGTATGGTGTGTAATTGTTAGACTTTTAAGTATGGTTCTTGAAGGAATTATTCAGGAATAGAATAAAGATTTATTCTTTTTTTTTTCTCCTTTGCGTATGCCTTGTATTTCCTAAGACTACAGCCTTAATTTCTGAAAAATAACAGCATTGCTGGCAAAATTCTTTTTAAAAAAAAAAGTCTTTAAAAAAATGTGTTTCTTGATGAGAGGAAATATACTTTCTACTTCAGTCTAGATCAGTTGCAGCACCAAATCATGTCATAAGATTGAGAGAAAGGTTGGGTCAGAGGTAACAGCAGGGCAGCATTCTATACTAATGGAGCATATAAGATTGGACATACTTTTGCCTTAAAATGCTGCCGTAATTAAAATGTCATAGATTTTTCACTCTTTGAGACCGTTAGGTCATTTTTGCTTATTTTTTCACTGAAGACTTGATTTCTGCCTATATTCTGTAAAGTGGAGCTGAAGAGCCCTTGCTTTAGATGATCTGAACCTTTCTCCTTGTTTTGCTATCCTTTTAAAGCAGCATCAGGAAAACTGAGAAGGTGTTAAAAGGCTTAGTGATTCAATGCCTGGGACCTTACCTCCTCATGTGTGTCTGCGTTCGCATTTTTTCTGCCATGTTTGGATGGAGCCGTGTCATGGTGGTTGCTGAAGGTAGTCAACCACATGTAGATAACATCTGGGAGAATAGTGATGGTATTTTGATATATGGTGTTTCTTGATGTGCAAGTTTAGTGGAGTCCTTGAAAAGGAATACCTTTTGCTTTTCATCTTAAGTAACCAGCACGTCGCATGTATTTTGGATAGCTCGCTCGTAGTTTCTGAGCTGTGGCAGTTCAGTCTTGTTTTCCACGAATTTTTGTGCAATTTGGCCCTGAAGTTATTTCCTCATCAGTCAGACTGTCAATATAATGATGTCATCCATGACTGCAGAGGAAAACTTAGGTTTCTGTGTTGATATGTTTTGTCTTGGAGTGTTGAAATTATCAGCTGTCACTGATGGCTAGCCCCCTTCTCTGATGAGGAAAGAGCAGCCTACCAGAGATCTTGGTTGCAAATACTGTATTCAGTTTGAGACTGATTTCCATGCTTCCCACAGTCTTAGGGTAAGATCTGTAGGCTTGTTGGTAACAAGTAAAACCATGTTTGACTTTTTGTAGCAGAAATCTGAATTACTGATATTTCCCTTGTAGAGTGAAATTGAGAGTTTTTTCCACACTGGTATAGTGATTCTTGTGAAGGAGGTGACAGTACAGAATGTGGTATTGTAAATGTCAATGTAGTTTAAGAACCTGATTCTCAGATCTAGATTTTTCTTTCAAAGGCTTCAATTTCTGTATGCATTCTTCATCTCGGAAACAAGCTGAGTGTTAAAATTTTGATCTCTTGTCTTCAGATCTTGTGTGTTGATACAGGAATCAAAGTAGATTTTTTTCCCATTGTTCTGCCTGTATCGTTAAAGAATCCAATGTAACAGAGGCTATTGCCATTATTGTAGTGTTTCTGCACAGGCTAACACTGGTGGTTAAGTCTCTTTATTTTTCCACAGGAAAACGTGACATTTAAAAACTCTGCATGGATTGACACGGATTAATGAATAGATAGATTCACAATAACTATCCAGGAATTCCAGTAGTACTATGCAGTACGTTCAGCATTTTTAAATTTCTGTTGTCATTTGCTTATAAGTTGATGAGCAATAAAAATGAGGATGCTCCAGAATAATATACCATCCCAGAACTCCACTGAAGAATATGCTTTCAAGCTTTTCTAAACCAAAATTGCTGTTGAATTGTAAGGCCACTGGCTTGTGATTGTTAAAGATGGGTTCGTTCTCTGAAGGTGTTTTAGCAGTTCCTTGCTGCCTTTGAGTGATGAAAGTTTTCAGTTTCTACACCTCTGATGCTGTTGTAGTGTATCGTAGGCATAGAAATTTTCTCAGGCAACTAGAAGACTACATGCAAGCAAAACAGAAGCATCTTCACCCACTCCATAAGATGGTAATTCAGTAGTTTGTGAAATGCTCTCATCTCTGAAAAGATATTCTGGACTTTCTCTCACATTAAACACCCTTGTAAATGTGGTTGCAATGGACTAATTTTTATGTAGGTTGTTTAACTTGGGTGCTGAGTGAAGATCAGTCAAATAGAAATGTATACTAATATAAATACAAACTTTTTTGATAACTTCAGAATGCAGCAGTATCCCATGGTTCTGATTTTGTGATACCTGTAGATGATCTTTGTTCTTTCCTTATCTTCTGCATCTAGTTCTGAGTTGGTTAAATTGCTGAACTAGATGCAGGATGATTTTCTTTCTAGAATTTCAAATATGAATGGTTTTGAAGCAGTAATCTGCATTCCTTATCTCACTGGTTCTTTCTAAAGACCCACCTTGTAGCCTGCTTGTGAAGATCAAAGTGAAATAAGCAATAATATGACTCTTTGATATAGGGTGGTTGTTGGTTTTTTTTTTTAAATGTTAAGGTTTTTTTTCCATGGAAGGTAAATTTTTTTATTACCTACTTTGGTAACTGTGTGTGTTGTGCTTTATAACAGTTCATCTTCTTCATGTAGTTACTTTTTCAGAACAGTAATGCGGGAAGGACTGCGGCATGGATGGTTACTCTAGCACGTGCGTTGTCCTTTCTGTCTCTATATTGTGTATGGCTGGGAAGTCTCCAGTAATGCCTTTAAGACAGAGGCAGTAGTAATGTTTCTAGTAACTGCTAAGCTTTTTGCTTTGGGCACTCTTTATTTCTGCCCTGCTTAAAAAACCCGAGCTATTAAACTTGCTTGGCAAAATAGTGTGTTATATTATGCTCCTCCTGAGTCATGTCATGGAAACTTGCCCAGTGTTTGACAAATCTAACCAAGCAGCCATGCGTAGTAGACTGCCTGGTGTTGTCTCCTTTTTGTTTTTATTAAGTATCTGTACTTGTCTGCCTAAATTTTAATCTAAACCCCCCTTATCTTTCCAGTTGCAGCCAAAACTGTAACCATCTTAAAATAGTGTATTGATAAGTGAATCTGGGGTAGTTCTACCTTCATTGTGTGTTTGATAACTTTTGAATATTAATATAAACTCCTTTTAAGATGTATTGATGTGTATGTAGCCTTTTCCTTACAAATTGGTGAAGTAAACCAAAGGAAACGTATTGATGCATCCTCTGCATTTATAGGAAACTATGAAATTTGAGCTTTAAGCATTTGCATCAGAATCTTTCATTTCCTTATTAAGAACCATACTTTATATGGGAAATAACTTTAAACCAACGCAAAATTCATTTAATTAAATTTTATTTCTCCTTTCTGTAACCTCTTCTTTTTTTCCAGTGTTCTTTTTTCTGTTTGGCTTTTTGTATTCCTTTTTCCTTTTCTTCCCTCCATCTGTAATCTGTAGTTATTCTCCTGCTTTTTTTTTTTTTTTTTTTTTTTTTGAGAGATAGGTCACTGTGTGCAGAATACTTGCTAGTAAGTAAGAGTTGAGTACTGTTTGAGAAATAACATGTTTGGAAAAAACCCCATAATTTAAGTGGTACCTTTCAAAATAGTTAAAAGGTTGCATATGGAAAGCAAAAAATCAAAATAGCAGACAAATGACTAAAAATCAATTAAAATACCCAAAGTTAAAACCAAACAAAAAAACGGAGAAGTAATGCATTTGATACTAAATGAGTCTAAAACAGTCCTTAAACACTTGTCAAATATAGGAGCTGAAGTCAAACAGTACCCTTTGTCTTAGAGGAAAATCTATTGCCAGTTTCACGGCAGAAATTGAGAGCAAGACCTAGTATCAGCATGCTACAAGGCAAGATGTAGCTTCCCGCATCATTGTGTACAAAATTACTCTATCTTGAAGACTTTGGGAGAAATACTACCTCCCTCCCAGGAACACAAGGGAAGCTGCCGTTTGGGCCTTTTTATGACTCTGTAATAACTGGCCTCCCAGAATTTTCTTTACTGGTTCCTGGAGGTTTTTAAAGCAAATCATTGCTAGATTGCATTTGGAGTCTTTAACATGTCAGTGACAGGCTGGGGTCCTGCATTTCAGGAGCAACGGTAGTGTAATAGCTAGCTTGGCAGGGGAAAAGAAGGGAAGGAAGAACTAGATGAGGATGGGAGGGCCAGAAAAAATGCTTGAAAGGTCGGAGTGGGCTGTCTGCTGCTTTTCTTTTCCTTTCTTTTTCTATCATTCCTTTTCTTGCAAGAGATTGCAGGGTTTAATGGTTGGGAGAGGGAGAGGAACTCTTCTTTCAAATTCCTTGTTGAAATTTTTGTACTTCTCTGCAAATTACCCCACTTTTCCCTCAGACTTGGGACTATACAGATGAGATTGGGCATGTGTAACACTTACACTGCCAAATCTGTGTTAAAATCTTACTGTAAAAGTGGTATAGTCAGGCCTTCCTTGCTCACATTTTAGTGGTGTAGACAAATAACATTTTGAATTTCATTAAGTTGCTTTAATTTGATTTATATATCTGCATAAACAAGACCAAGGATGTAGTTACAGTATGATTTTGGAATTGTATTAGTTGTAAGGAGATATGCAGGAGACAGTATTTATAGTAAAATATGCTTTAAGATTCTTTTAGAATTTGGAATTGCCTTGAGACAGAGCTTTGGGTTTTTTTGTAAGGATTACTTTCTTTAAGTGTCTATTAAGAAATGGATAAACAGAACTGGTCTTCTGTCTGTCCCAATAATTAATTTGATCTATATTTTAAGTGACTTTAGTCTTCTATACTTTCAGGAAAAAAAGCTTTTTTTACTTCAGAGAATTTTGGAAATGCTGATGTCTAGGTTAGAGATGCTTTAGATTGGCCTGGTATATTGCTGTATAGCAGGAAGACTAGCTATATGTATGTGCAGCATTAATTTAATTACTTCTAGTGTTAAGATTAATATTGTGAAAGGCTTTGTTTAGCAAAGGTTTTATGTTCCTCTAATTTTTTTTTCTTTTTCTCCCCCCTCTCTCTGGTATTAGCTTTAAAAGGCCAAATTACTACTCTAAGTCAGAATAAATAACTTTCAATTTTCCATAGGAGCTGAAGTTAAAAGATGAAGAATGTGAAAGGCTTTCTAAAGTGCGAGATCAACTTGGACAGGAATTGGAAGAACTTACAGCTAGTCTGTTTGAGGTTTGTTGGAGTCTTCGATGTGATATACTTAAAGGAAGCTGAGCCAGATGTTTTATATAGAATCAGTATATTGTATGCTGAATTTTTCTGCAATAAGGTTATAAAGGGATTTGTGTCCTGAAGACCTGGGTGTGTTGAAGTAGAGGCTTAAGAGCAAGCAGTTGACTTTTCGCTTAGATGAAAGAGACCTTGTTGAGCTTGTCAATCTGCCTAGACACAAACTGAAGAAAATAAGGAAAATATACAAGAAAGCTTAAAACTATTTAGGCTTATTTTTTTGGCATAACTATTTTGAGACAGCTTCTCTGTCTGACAACAAGGCTATCTAGATAAGAGCTAAATTTGGGGTTGCCATGGTGACTAATTAAGAAAAGTAACATAGTTTCAGATCAATGGAGGTAGCAAGTACATAACCATGCTCTCAGCTTTTGAATCTGGCAGCATGCTACTCCCACAAACTTGAAAAGAAACATTAATACCGGGTGATGCACCAGGGTGGAACCTGGTTACCAAGTGAGAAGCCTGAACTTTGTGGGACCTTTTCATTTGAGAAGGTAGTAGTGCCAGCAAAGGCTGTGTGCTTGTATTGCACTGAAAAATAATCTTAAATCCATACTTGAAGCAGGTTCAGTTCTCATTTTATCACAGGAATATATATAGGAATGCCTAGAGCCTAAATTGTGATACTGAAAACTGTCAGAATAAATTTCATAATCTGGAGATGATTTATATGTTTACCAAATCGTGAGTATTGGTTTTCAGCATATGCATAAAGATACAACATTAGGTATGTTTTAGAAACAGTATTTAAACTGATGATGTTGTGTTGGTATAAAAGTGCTACTAAAACCTTGAAAATACTGACATTCAAAAATCAAATTACAGTCTGCTCTGTGGGTTAGCAATGCATTGTATTTCATCATCCCAGTAGGGCAAAGTTACTTAAAGTACTAAGCAGTTCCTGTGTGTAGAGAATAAGTGGGAGACTGGAAAGATACTTTTTAGCATAAATAGTTGTTATGTTGCGGGGGAGGAAAATGAGAGGCAGGCATTTTAAGTGTTGAGAAATAAAAATAAAATTATCAGTGAAGTTTTATATTACTGACACTTTATAACTTAGAACAATGTTATCAATTTGTTAAAGCTATGTTTGAAATATGGTATATTAGTAATAATTGTTTGAGTTTTAATTTTTCGGAACTCCCAACTGTTGTGGGCATGTCACTTGAATTTTCTTTTATGATTTGATTTCACTAAGAGGCCATAACAAAACACAGTGTTGAGGTTTCTTGATTTTTGCACTGGGATCTACACCCCTTGAATTCACATTCTATTCTGACTCCTACTAATATAAGTGGATATGCTGGAACTTATATTAACGCATCCCAACGGAGGACTGAGACTTGTTTTGCACAGCTGGATGTATAAATGACATTATTACACTGTAATAGCACTGTAACATGCTTTGCTTTCAAAGGTGCATCACTAAGCAGAAACTGCATGGTCAATGTTAAATGTATTTGTACACATTGTATAAATGTGTATGTTCCCATTCCTGCATGTGTCTGTTGTTACTTAAGAGAATTCTACAAACCCATATTATACAGCTGTGTTGTATGCCAGTGGGAGCCAGATCTTCTGGTATGATGATGTATGAACTTTTTTGTTTTATTTATATAGCGTCCAGATACGTGCTAGGCGCTTTACAGATATGAGAAGGATCCTATTCCAAGTAATTTAGTGGGTGGCCCTGATCTTTCAATCTTTGTTGCCTTCAGTAAGTACCAAGTAAGAACAGTAATTTGATCACAGGTGCAAACTGCTGGATCAGAGCCTAAACAAATGTATTACGCAGACAAAAGGCTTAGAGATAGGAGGTAAAAGGATGTTTAAAAAATTCCGAGTCCTTTTACGCTTTCTTTTTTATTGGCTTAACTGTGTTTCTTTACTTGAGTTGGGTTTTAGTGCTTTTTATGTTCTACTTAAGAAATGTTTATTAATCCATAAACTATTTTAAGCTGTTGCTTTGTTTGTTTTATTGATGGTAAGAATTTAGACTTCATAGTTGTTTGACCGGTTCCTTCATGCAGAAATTTACAGTTGACTGTAACTGGTTATTCTGGCTGGAAGAAGGGAGAGGTTCTTTTAATGTGCTACTGTGCTCATGTTGCTTTTGTTGCTACTGGTTGAGTCTTTCTCTTGGGGGTCAAGGAACTTGACTTGTCAGCCACCGAAGCATGACTGGAGCCTGGCATCCATGACAGGTATTGTTCCTGCTGGAGCGGAGTGGGTGGAGTTGCTGAATTTCTGAATCTGGGCTCAGGACCAGGGAGAAGCAACTTGGTGGGCCTGTGATGAATCCAAATGATAGATTTGTAGGTATTTTTTGGTATGTAACTATTTAATTTCAGATTGTTGCGCAACTTACTATTCACAAGTAGTCTCCGTGAAGCAAAAGTATGTCCATAGGTTATTTTGGTTTTAACTGGATCATGTAAATTTGTGTGAAGCACTTACACTATCTAAACTTTTTTTTATAGGAAGCACACAAAATGGTTAAAGAAGCTAATGTCAAACAAGCTGCAGCAGAAAAACAGTTAAAAGAAGCACAGGGCAAGGTGAGTTTTTTCTGACTTGCTTGATTTGTCTTTTCACATGGTTATAAATCTAAACTGTGAATCATAACAATGTAAATAGAGCATTACCTGTATGCATTATGAAAATATATACCAAGTTGTTTTGTTGCTGTGACATATTCTTAGCTACCACCTCTGGGCACAGAGCTGGTCTTTCAGTATCGTATCAGATAGCTAGCAAGGTGCGCAGGAAGCCAGTGTTACTACAGTATGCAATTGCATAGGCGTCTTGTGTTAGTACTGTTGGAAGATGAAGTCTTGATTTGAACCAACATAACTGGTTGTTGTTGTTTTGTTAAATGATTTAACATATTCATAGCCTAATATGATATTTTTGTTTGTTAATGACTTTATCCTCTTCCCCCTGCCCCCCCACCCAAGATTGATGTCCTCCAGGCTGAAGTAGCAGCATTGAAAACGCTAGTATTGTCTACTTCACCGACATCTCCAACTAAGGAGTTTCAGTCTACTGGAAAAGCTCCTTTTAAGAAAGGCCATGCAAGAAACAAGAGTACAAGCAGTGCTATGGGTGGCAGTCATCAGGACCTTACCATGATGCAGCCAATTGTAAAAGACTGTAAAGAGGTAACAGTACAAGGATTGTCCTCTTTTTGCTGATAAGCTGGCTTTATTGTTTTGTTTTACTCACAGTAAATACACTATATATTAAGTCTTCATGTAATACTGACTATTTTAGAGATATTTTTCATTAATGAAAGGAAAATTTTTCTTACATACCAATAGGTGGTGATTTTTCCAAGTCTTGTTTACCTTTAAATCATTAAGGGAAAATGAGATAAGATTTGAAATATTGGAATAAATAATTTAAAGATGGGAATTAAAAAACCAAAACAAAACCACCAAAAACACCCCCAAAAAAACCAACCAACCAAAAAAACTCAGTATAACTGAATGATAGGTCCTGGTGGCTTTTTACAAAACCCATCACTGAAAGTTCATAAACTTTCATAAATGTTTCATAAACTGTCATAGAATAAGAGGAAGAGTAATTTTATAGATCAATAATGGGTGAAAGAGGCCAGGGAAAAGATGGAATCAGTGATTTGTTAGAGAACAGGAGGAGAGTTACCGCTGGAGTCCCAGAGGGGCCTGTGATTTTTTTTTTTTTTTTTTTAAATCTACTCATGTAATTGAAAATGGGGAAATAATGAGGTGACGGGTTGGTGCTTGAATGGGAGTAGCAAAAAGTGACTGAAGAGTTGAGAAGGATCTTATACTGAGTGGTTTGTAGAACAGTGGATGAAATTCAAAATCAGTAAATGAGAAATGAGGCATATAGGAAAAAATGCAACTCTAGCAGATGTGCAGTTGTGGACTTAGAAATAGCTACATTGTGCTGGGGGGAAAAGAAAATAGTAGTGCACTTGTGGATAATTCTCTGAAAACACCATCTCAGTGCTCAGTGGTGGTCAAAGACCCACAGAGCCTTAGAAGTTGTTAGGAAAGGAATAAATAGCAAAAGAAAAAGCATTATACTGCTGTATAAACATGTAGTAAATGTGTGTGTCTATGCATGCAGCTATGATGTCTTCATCTCAGAAAGGACATAATGAAAATATGAGGAAGCGTGACATAGATGGTCAAACCTACGGACACATTTCTGTGTAGAGAGACACTTGAGGTAGAACAAAAATCTGTACAATCACAGGTGACATGGGGAAGATGAATGGTGGACAAATATTAATGACTTCTTGTAGTAAGCAAACTCTGGAAGCTAAAAAGAAAATAATTTTCAGTTGGTACATAATGAAACTTCACAGCTCATTGCCACAAGGTAGCAAGATTAAAAATATAAATGTGTTCAAAATGTAGTCATGTAAAGTGACAGAAGAAAAGCCTGTCAAGGTATATAGAAGATAGATATGACATTTGGCTTGGGAAGCTTCTTTAACTACAGATTGCTAGAAGTTGGGAGGCTGTAAAATGAAGACACATCACTGTCTTCCCTCTCGTACTGCTCTGCAGCCAGCTCTGACTGCTGGCCATTGTCAGAGGGGTAACAGGCTAACTGGAACTTTAATGTGATTCACAGTGGCTGTTTTTATACGTTGTTTTGCCAGTCATTACTAAGTGCATCTATACTATGCACCTTTTTACTATAAACCTAGAAAATAAAGGCATTTTCCAGTTTCTGTTTCATACTTGGGCTTAAAAAAAAAAATCTTTACATCCTGCCTGCCTACTTTCAGTGGTACCCAGGATGTTTTCTGTATTAAAATTGAATTCTTGTTGCTCTTCAGAAAGATGCAAACAAAAGGGGAGAGCTGGGATGGAATCCAGTTATTTTGTAAGCATCACACTGATGTCATGACTCAATAACATTAAGTGTTGGGCAAGAGCGGGAGCGGGGAGAAATCTGTTTTACTTTGGTTTCTTGTGGAGAGAAAGTGGTGAATGTAAAGGATACGTTGCAGAAGGTCCAGTCGGCCTGACATTTTTCTTTAGTTCAGTCTCCTTTCTGCTGGCTGCATAAGGAGACACTTTGAGGCTGACTGAGGCTGCTCAAAAAAGTATGACTTTCTTCCAGTGACAGCCCAGGGAATCAGTAAGAAACACACAGATTTTCCACCCACTGGGACTTGAGGCTTTCTGTGTCTCTTCTGAGCAGGAATATTTAATGGAGTGCAACATGGGGTGAAGAAAGCAAGACTGCCTCTGGCAAGGTGGTTAGGACATGGTTTTAAGCAGGGGAGACATGCCTTCCCTACTGCTTTTGTTATCCAGTGCTTTTGTGTATTGTTGGTCTAAGGTAAATGTTTTTGCATTTCTGGGAGCTGGGTCTGAAACCCTAGTTCTGCCCCCTTCTTGGTAAATGTCCTTGCCACTGAGTTAGGTTACCCTTTGCATGTCATTCTTCTGATTTTGAGTGACTTGGCTTCAAAAGGGAGACTGAGAGTACCCTTGTTCAGGGGTGTGTAGTGGCCTTGTGGTGTGGGGAATATAGCTTGGAATCCTTAGGGAGAGTCTACCACCCAGAGATAGACATTTCGAGATGTTGGATGGAGCTGGGTGTAAATACATGTCAAACCCTCAGGTTTCTTTGTGGAATGTAGACAGAGTTAGAGTGGCTGTCTGCCTGCCCTAAATTGCAGTGGACCAGAAAGGTGCCGACATCTCAGAGAAATACTTCCTAGCTTGTGGGAGTTACCTCTAGGATTAAGTAGACATGTCTAATTAATTTAGGTATTAACAGGATTTAGGCAAGCTGAATAGCTGCCTGGCTCTTAGGCAGGCAGGTAGCATCCACTCAGCTTAAATGCTGATAAATTCATCGGTGGTGTTCAAGAGCTGACTTGTTTTTCTGATGTTATACTTTACTGTGAAATGAAAGCATTAAAAATTTAACTAGAATTATTGTTACAATTGGCTGTATATTTAAGTGCAGGTGATCAAAACTTTGATCTACTGAAAGTGCAAATAAAGGCAGGGAGGAGATGCACATGCAGCACAGTGTAGATTAGAAAGGAAGAGCATCAAGCTATACTCACTGAGCAGTTTTTTCAAGGCAGCTTTTTTATTAATTGCAGGTGTGGGTGAAACTGAGTTATATCTAGAAAATAACCCAGTTAATAAGAAATGCATCTTAATTTTTAGAATCATATAGTACAAATCAAAACAGCTTTTTCTGCTGGTCTCTCTTGATTGTATTCATTTTACAACCGGGTTTTAAGGTATGGGAAATGTTACTTTAGGGAGCAAGTTACACGTATTGAATTTCATTTGTACAATGAGGTTGGTGGCTTAGCAACAAGAACATTTATGGACTAGCTTAATTAAGATGGTTGTTCTTGATTGTACCTGAGCATAAGGCAAGTAGCTCTAATGGAAAACAAATTTGCTAGTCTAATTTTTGTAGAATCTATTTCAAGGAAAAAAAAAAGAAAACCCAAAATGACAAAAGAACTCCCCAAAATATATGTGTAAAAGAATGGCGAAGTGCTGAGAGCTCAGAGAAGGCGTAATACATGAGGAAAGAACAAAAGACTGAAAGAGGTTGGTTCAAAGCAGTGTACTGATCTTTTTAATGGGATTAAAAATCAATTATTTTAATTTTTAGCATATGTTATTTTTCCTCTTTCATTATCTTGTCTATATTATTTATTTTTAATATTAAAAAAAATTAAAATCACATCCTGGCTTATCTTTGGCCTGCAGCATACATCCCTTCCTATAGCTTTATGTTTGGGTTTTAGGAGTATAGATAGGTCTGCTATAGTACAAGGAAGGGACTTAACAACCAGTTGGAGGGGAAGGGTGCTGAAGCTTGTGCTAGTAGAATGTCAAAACCAGTCTGAGGATGGTGTTGCATCCGAGGAGCAGGATGGTGTTGCAAATCTCATTGGGGACTGGCATTAGTCTTTTATGTCGGATTAGGAGTATGCGTTGGAAGCACTCATCCCCACTCTGCTTGGGTCACGTCCTGGAGCAGCGTTGGTGCCCATGAACAGGATCCTTCTCGAGTAACCCCAAACCAGATGATGTGCTCCGGGAGTACCTCAGTGTGCTCCAGCTGTTAGTGGGTAGGCAGCCCGTGGGACACCTGTCCCATAATGCAAACGTGGATTTTAATAGCGACCTAGTACCAGTCTCCTGAATGCCAGATGGGGTAGGTGCCTTTCCACTGCTAAACTGATCTCAGCATGGAGATTACAAAACAAGGTGTTTTCAAAGCAGATAAAGCCATCTCTTCCTAACACAGAGCATGCTTAGTCTTAACATGACTTAATGGGTTGGTTTAGTACTTCTCCATGGACTAGAGGAGCTGTGGGGGAGCAGGCTCATGAATCACGTCCAGTGAATATCCTTGCCTTCCTGCGGTAGCATGGTGTAGGAGAGAGTTTGGGCAGCAAGATGAAAAATGAGGAATAAGAGTGCAGTTTTAATTGATTTGTATATTGAATTCCTGGTTTCCTGTTTTAGTGTATTGTGTGTTAAATGTCTATTTTCTTGTAGCATTTGGATAGCAGTGTGTTACATTCAGATGCAGGGTGAATGTATAAGATGTCTAGGATTGCAGTTGTTTTCTTTAGATTTCTCTGCTTTTCTGAAACTCGCAGAAGTGGAGATGGACTAAAATACTGTAATGAAGATGCATCAAGAAGAAAACTATTTTTTGGCTTTTTTTCTGTTAAAGGATCAGTTAAGCTTTTCAAAGCTATCCTGGAAGCTTAGGAAATGAGGGAGAGGTAATTAGCTTGTTCCTGGTGTTGTGGTGACCAGTGAATGCATTACCTCTGTGTCTTGAAAATTACATGTTTTGATTTGCTTATATTTACAGTCTTAGGAAAAACTTATATTTATATTTAAATATAGACATATTTTTATATTAAGGAAAGACTTATATTTACAGTCTTAGGAAAGACATAGCTGGGGCACAATAGCGTTCTTGCACAGTGCATTTAGTTTTAATGCTCAGTATTTACCTGTGAATATTTGCAAATGGTAGATACTAGTGTAATAATTGCAGTACTAAAATATGTGAATCTTTGTGTTCTAGGCTGACCTATCTTTGTACAACGAATTCAGATCGTGGAAGGATGAGCCTACTATGGACAGAACATGTCCTTTCTTGGACAAAATTTATCGGGAAGATATTTTTCCATGTTTAACCTTCTCAAAAAGTGAGGTAATGGAAATAGTCTAAATGTGGTTACTGATGCTTTTTCCTTAAATATGTTACTTGAAGCCAACAGACTGTATTAAAAATGTTTTCATATGAAGTTTAATAATTTTTGTTTCATTAGAGTATGACAGTTTACGGTGAGGTGCTGCAGTTTGGAGTATTGAAATGATCATTTTTTTTCTTCACTATTTCATTTATGCTATTCCAAATATGGCCGTTTTAGGCCTACTCCTTCAGATGTTACTCCTATCTGGGAGAATCTGATGCTTGTAGGAATGGATGGTGGGTTTTTTCCTGATATTTCAAAGATACTGTTTTGTAGAAATAGTGTCCTGTCACTGTCTCTTGTTTATATAGGGGGCAGTAGAGACCAATATATTTAATTTTGTGGAACAGTTTTCTCTCATATCGATCAGAGAAGGCTGCAAACACCGTCTGGGTGTTTTCTTGAAGAGGGGTTTGAGTTACAAGAATTACTTTGGAACTTGATATGATTCAACAGGGGCAGTTTGGGAATATGGTTTTAGATGAAACAAATTTTGATACTTTTTTTCTCCTTGCATTTTTCCCACACACTCTCCCATACAGAGGAAAGACTGGAGTTTTACGCATCCTGGGAGTAACGTGGAACTGATTCCAGCTCCAACTGCTTTACTTAGTTTTTGTTCTTAAGCAGCATTTACAGGCTGTAGTTGTGGTATCAGTCTCTAGGTAAAAGGGACCACATTCTTAGATCTTTACTGAAATAAGAATAACACATTTTAAAGCCCTCAGACTTGATGGTTTTTTCCCCAATAAAATTAAACACCTCACATGGAAAATGCTGTATTTTCTTCACCATGTTTATCTCTTGTTTTAATGTGGTGTTATGTTCTTTTCCCATGCTTTCCATCTGTTGATCGCGCATGCTTATGGCCAGCAAGTAACTTTTAGTTAATTGTATACCAGTTCATTTATGGTTGGTGTACAACATCATATGCACCTCTCCCACTAAAAAGTTTACTTGGTTACTATGGGAATTAAATTGCTTCTGCAGTATATGTAAGTAGGCCATCCTGTTGTCTTTCCCAGCAACTTCATTCGGTTTTTTTCTGCGCCAGTGATAATTACTGTAGATTTGTATTTCCTCTTAAGGAAAGAATGAGGCGTCTAGCACTTGTCAGTTATATTGGTTATTGTTTCCAGATGCTGTGCATAGCGACCAACTTCTTTTTTCACTTGAATATTGATAAACTAACATGCAGTTAAACCTAACAATAAACTACACATGTATTGTGTTTTTTGAATAATTGGAAATGCAGTTATCTGAATGGTTGAAGTATTACATTAACTCCCAGTAACCTCTTGTGTATATGTGTAGTGTTTTGCTTTTGGGAGATGGCAGAGGAAGAGTGTTTCATATGAACTACTTTAATAGTAACATTCTGTTTTTAAAATATTCCAAGTACAATAGAAAAAGTCTTTATTACTCAGTAGGAAGGAACCTTGGCACAGAAATATTTCATTATTTCAATGAATTATAATAACATAAATTGCACCTTCTTTTAAATCAGGTCATGGCTATTACTTGTCCATACTTAAACAGTAGTCTCGGGCAAGTGTTGAGTCCAGTCAACACAAATGAGCATATTTTTAGCGTCTTATGACTGTGTGTTTATAAAGAATTAACATAAAAAGCCTGAGCAAGTTGCACTTTGTTTCATGAAGATGATGTTTTAACTAGGCTAGTGTTTGAAAGCTGCAAGTGGCTTTTCTATATATTATGTTGGCTTTTCTATACATAGTTCAGTCTTACTTGTTTGAACACCTTTCTAAAGCTATCTTTAGCTGAAAAACAGTGACATAACACTTGTTTTTTGCAAGATAAGGAAGCATGCTGCATCATTTCGTGTTTCCATAGAACACAATCAAATTAGAGCAATTTTTTTAAATAAACAGAGTTTATTCCGTATCCAGTCTCTGACAAGAAGTGCATGTAGAAAGTGTATGTGCTATTTGGGCTCATGAGGAATGACTGAAAATACAGTTAGCCTTTTCAACGTGTTTGACTACATTCCTGGCTGTAAAGGCAGTTATTTTGCCTCAGGGAGGGCAGAATTTAAACAGGAGCCTGGAAATGGGACCTCTTGCTTACAATGAAAGCAAAATCTCATTTGTAATTGAATTTCTGTTTGGTAAGTTGATTTTTTTCAGCATTCCTAACTTTACAGAAGAAGAAATATGTTACTGCTTTGAGGAAATGGATAATGCAGAGCTGTTTTTAACTGCTTTCTAAATTTCTCTTGCAGTTGGCCTCAGCTGTTCTGGAAGCTGTTGAAAACAACACTCTGAGCATTGAACCTGTTGGCTTGCAACCTGTTCGATTTGTGAAAGCTTCTGCAGTTGAATGTGGGGGACCAAAGTATGTTAAGCTAACAGACAGAGGGGGAATCTTGACTCATTTGAGATAACTCTTGGATTGAGAAAGCTGCTATCAACTGATTACCTCAGTCAAATTTATGTATCTTAAACTTTATTTCCTAAAATCTAAGACTTCAAGATTGCTGTTACAAAATTTTATGGGGAAAGTAAGCAACTAATAAATTAAACTTTAAAAAAGACTAATACAGAGCAAACCTTTAAGACAAATTCGCTTTTTGAGAGCGCTGTTCATTTATGATGCGTTGACTGCAAAAGTAACATTCACTTCTTTGGAGAAGACCATCCTGATGCTTAAAACAGATGCTTTTGAACTAGGGGCTATCATGTGGAAAGCGTCATGAAAGAAATAGGTATTGAAGTAGTACAGGCTGAATATCAGACATCTGGAGTATTTGTGGCATAAGAAATTTAGGACATACATGGCACACTGGCAAAGGTAGCTGAAGGATTTGAGGAGATACATAGAGTAAATCCTCTGAGTTTTGAGCAGGAGGAATGTAATGAAGCGGGAATGAAGGTGAAGGAGAGTTTGAACCTAAAGCAAGAAGTATGCTTGAATGACAGGAAGATTATTTTAGAAATTTTGGAACGGTCCTAGAGGAATCTGAAGCAAGACTTGTTGTCAGGTACTGATATAGACATTAGAGTTAGGTGGGAGGGACTTGCCTGAGGCACTGGGGCTTTGATGGATGTGGAGGAGAAGGAAGGGATTTGTAGTGTACTTTAGTGTATGTCAGGGTTAAGCAAGCAAGGTCAGTGTTAATCTGGAGCCTTCCAAATCTTGACAAAGTCTTGACTTTTCTGTTGCAGATCTTTTGGACAAGTTGACAATTCTCTCTGTAATACTTGTTTTGACAGAGCTCAATTTTCTGATAGAAAACTTGGATCAAAATGTTTTCATCTGGCTCTTAAGACTTTTTCTTTCTCATCGCTATTGGTTTTTAGTCCTTGATTTTCCTCTGTTTTTCAGTGGAAGAGAAAATACATTTAACATACTTCAAAATTGTTTACTTTCTCTTTAAAGAAGCTGTATAAAATTGTGTTTTGTGACTTAGTATTTGATCCTTTCCAGCCTACAAAATTCAGGCATTTGTATATTCTTCAGCTTACTGCTGTCACTAGAAAACACGCTCTGAGCTGTAACAGCCCGTCATCAGAAGGGCCCACCACCAATAATTGAGTTACTGAAGGGGTGGTGATTTCAAGTCCAAGATACACCACTGTGAGCTGTGTTCCATGAATGCAATAGAGAATCTGGACAGCTAGAAGCTACTGAAACAAGTCACATGTCATTAAAGAGCAATTTGCAAATTGATTTCAAATCATTGTGGTTCAGGCAACTTCCCTATGTCTTGACATGATGAAATATTTACTCAAAAACAGGAGACTCAGTTGCATCTTTCAGAAGTTTCATGGTATTTTTAGCCTATTTTCTCCATTGTAAGAAAAATTTTTAATTAGAATTTATGTAATCCTTAAATAGTTGGCTAGGCATAGATTAATGTTTTGAGATGACTGTGCACAAATTGTAATTTAGTTATTTTAGATGTATCAAACGGCCAGGCCTACTCCTTTCTCCCTTTCCCCGCTGTCATGTAGTGACAAAAACTTTTGTGGTATTGCTTGTAGATAAGTAACAGGTAAGGAATATGCAGTATTTAATTGTAACTTGACAGCAAATGTGCTTTGCCTTATGTATGATTACTGGCACTGAATGGGAAACAGGTGTTCCAGTTTTCACTGAATCAGAGTAGCAGTTTCGGGTTTTTTATTTTTATATGGTGCAAAGCACTATTTATTGAAAGCATGTTCTTAAATAGGTAACAAAATAGGTAAGCCGTAAATAAATAACAATAAAACAGAGAGTAATATTTTTAAAGGAATTATTTTATTGTACAATTGTTTGGGGGATGGGGGAACAGATGCATAAAAGAGCAGGTAATAGCCCAACAGCAAAATAAGGAGCAGAGGGCAGAGAGCTGGGATAATAGTGAAGAAAGGTTCTTGATATACAGAAGTTACTGAATGGTGCCTGTGATGGTGTGTAGTAAGTGCTGCCTTAATGAAAGGCAGCTGGGTTTCCCCACAGGATTCAAATAATTGTCCCCATGGGGAACAAAGCACTAAGCTGCGTGTGTGCTGTACGGCGCAGAACTGAGTCATTAGTAGTAACTGTCATGCCAGCATTTAACCTGGTGTGATGGAAGATAACATATAGAAGGTAATTCTATAGCCAGGAGGAAAAAAGGCTTTATTTTCTTAGCATTGAAAGTCTGTCTGCCTTCTCACAAAAGCTTGACTGAAATTGTGATCAGCTTGCTTCAGCTACTGTACGATTTCTTGGATCAATGGACTGCTGTCAGTCCTCATAAATTGCTATGGAAAATCATATACACTTCAGTTTTCTCCTGTCTTACACAGTTCTGTGGACAGCTGCAGGCTATTTAAAAGGGCCTCTAAGCCACTGTTTAGAACCACAGAAGCTTAGTAATCTTTGTTTCACTTTTGAAAGGCTGCTTGTTCTTAAACTCCCTAATTTTGTGAGGTAGAAATGGGAGAAGAGCCAGCCACTTTTAAAATCAATGAAACAGTGGGTGCCATGACAACCTAGTTCATCTGAGATGCTGCAATATAGACATTCCAAATAAATCAAATTCCTATTTTATTTACATTTATTAAGATTGTATTAATAGCAGTTTATTCAAGAGATTCAAGCCGCCTTTTTCTAAAGAATGTTGGAGGAAATTTTTAAAAATTCTTTGCCTTTTCCTGAATTGTTTTTTTGGGAAGAATTTGTGGTGACTACTGGCCTTTCCTTGTTCCTGAATACGACATACTTGCAATATACCAGAAGCAATAAATTTTATTATTTGACCATCGCTTGTTATAATGGTAATGGAAAGAATTATTGCCAGACAGCCTATTTTCCATTGTCTCAAATTATTTTATACTCTAAATATAAAATATGATTGCAATTTGGGCGTAAATGCAAAGCTGGTCTTGGAACAAATCTGAGAGAGGCTTCAGAGAATTGACTGCTATTCTGTAGGGCTGATTATTTTTTTTATGATGAAATGCAACATCAAGCAGAAATTTTAAAAAAATCTGTTTAAATGTTGGCATCAACTGATAATTTAAACAATGTTTATTTCATATATGAAGAGTTAATTAAACAAATCCCACTGTTCCAGAGTTGTCAAACCAGCTTGAATTAGTGAACATGAAAGTACATGACCAGAGCTGAAGAAAGTTTTTAAAAATCAGAAATGCATCATGATGCACTGGTATTGAAACAAAATTAGTCCTTGTGGAACTAAAATAATTCACAACGTAATGTAATAATTGCAGCTTGTAAAATGAAGGCAGAGGCTTGGGTTATCTGTGCCAATATGAAGCAATTGCATTAACACCTCAAACACATGCAGGCATTTAGACATTAGTGTCCTATTTGTTTATTAAATCATGCAAACTTTATATTTTATAGGAAATGTGCTCTCAGTGGACAAAGTAAGTCATGCAAGCATAGAATCAAATTAGGAGATTCAAGCAGTTATTACTACATTTCTCCTTTCTGTCGTTACAGGGTAAGTAGATTTACTATGATTTCATTTTGAGTAGTAGTTAGTTATTTTTCCATACCGTTATACAAAATTATATTAACCACCATTATTTTTATATGGGTTCAGATCACTTCTGTGTGTAACTTCTTTACATATATTCGATACATCCAGCAAGGACTATTGAAGCAGCAAGATGGTGAGTAGGAAATTGTATTTGGCGTATATAAATGGAAATTTACATAGTGCATGTACCTAAAACTTGCTATCTGTGCTCACTAGCAGTGATCTGACATTACAAGAAAGCTCTCTGTTGGTAGTCATTGTTGTAATTACGAGAATTTGCTGATATCCCACCCTCCAATGAATGTTTTTTTCCTTGAGAACCACAAATTAAAAACCAGTGATTTTTAGTCCATCTAAAAACCCCTTATATTATTCAGTAAGAAATGTTATGAAAAATTTTGTAACGAGAGGAGTTAGTCACAGTTTTTCAACAAAGTATTCAAAAAGCAAGGCTGTTCACAGAATATGGAGATATTTTAGACCAAAAAAACTAGAGTTTGGTTTGATCTGGGGCATTTTTTCTTCTTTCACCTGGTGTTTTGGTGCGTCCTCTCATTTTGTGCATTGAGAATTCAGACAGCCTTTCTTGTCAGACTGTCTTTCAGGGAGAACTGGCAAGGATGACAATACTTTGGGTTAAATTGTAAAAAATAAACAGGAAACCATACTGTAATCATTCATCTGAGTGCAGCTGAGGAATGAGGTCTTGGTCATTGCTGTGGCATGGCAAAATCTCTTGATTAGGGCTCTGGTTATAAATGTATCTGACGATGTAAGGCTTGATTACACCCCACCCCAAAAGGGAAATGTTTTTTTTACTGCCATTGCTTCAGGCTGTTCCCTGCCCCGCCCCCCTGCCCCCAAGTTACCTGGTCACTTTGTTCCTGTCAGAATAGCATATCCAACAACTGCCTATTTAAAATCTGTGCAGCAGTTCGGGAATTTGCTTAACCGTGCTATTCAGTTTTAGCATGTCTATATAAAAGAATATGGCTATGAAAATGTATGCACTGTACACCTAGTTACTTAGTTACTTAATTCTGGAATTTAAAAATGTGTTGTGTGTTGGAGTTATTGGTCTTCATGAAACCTGTCTATCACTATAAAAGAAAATTATGATGATTTGATTGTTTAAACTGTACACAGTTAATTTAGTTGCCTGTACACAGTTGATTTAATTGCATTTCCTGTCCAAGTTAAAGAATATTGCCCAACAGCCTTCAGTCCAAGGTTTTTTTGAAACAGACTGTATCACTTAGGCTCCTGGATTTGCTAAGCACAGATAGTGGAAAAAACGTCATTAGCCCTGTGTCAATAGTTAATTAAAAAAATTGGTTTCACTTTTAAAATTTTTTTTTTAGTTCACTTGCATTTCTGAAAGTAGAGTAAAACAGCATTCTAATGTTTATGGATGTCTGTGCTTTTCATTCTTCCAGTCTTTGAGTCTGTGTGTGGATTGGCTTCACCCAGAATTTGGCTAAAATTAGCCCCACTTTGATCTACCTCAGCTATAGTCATCTCTTCTGATGTTTCCCAATTTCAAGAGCTCAGTATTTTAGCTACGCCCAAACCTTTTGTTTCCATTTCTAACCTGAATTGTTCCTGATGTGATAAATGGAGAGACCGTTCCTTACAAAAAATAATGCTGTTAACTTTCCTTGTCAAAGGGAAGTATTTTCATCGAGTTCACGAGAAATTCACCTTTTTCATACACTAAATTATGTTTAATAAAACCTTCACATGGTAGTAATTTTTATTGATTTACTAGCATCACAGAAGATCTTGAAAATGTGTTATTTAAGTTTTAATTTGGTTTATAGTTAAAAGGCTTTTACTTTGACCAAAAGGATCTATGTAGTTTCAACTAAAAATTGTTTACTTTGCTATTGAGGTAAAGAAATTAAGTTAATATTTTTTCCATCAAATAATGAAATATTTTCAGCATTATCAGAATTACTTATTCTTCACAAGAAGTTTTGAAAAAAATTGAGTTTCGTGTTTCAGCTCAATTGTCATCTTTACCATTAAAAACATAGAATTTGCATTTGTAGCTTTATGTACATATTTCAAAAATACCTTTACAAGAATGTAGGCAGTCATGATAATTGTCTGCATAATGCGTTGCATGTATTTCTACTCATGTACCATATAATTTGAGACAGAGGTCACTTTTACAAAAGTGGGTTTTGAAGTACGGTTGGAAGACCTTTTACTTGTTGCTCAGGTTAATAATCTTTGTAGCCACTCTACATCATGATTTTGACTGTATGGAAATTGTTTTTGTCTTGATTTGTATTGCTGTGGCATCTAGAAGCTCAAGGTATGCACTAGGCTCATAAAGTTTAGCAAAATAAAGATGAAATAAACAAAAAGGTCTTTTTCCTCCCCAATTTATTGTTGCTGGCAGATTACTGGTAGAAAAAAGATGGAGGAAGAAAGATTACAAATGGAAAAGTTATAACAAAATTACAGATTCTGTGATGAAACAATTCTTAGCCAACAAGTTCTACTTTTTTCTTCTTGTAGTCATTTTACAGAAAATGAGTCAAGAGGCAGGGCAATTAAAATGAGAAATGGTAATTAATTGAAGTTGACAAGAAGTACTGATGTATTTTTGTTCCCCAATTTAAAAAGAAATAATCTAAAGTTTGGGGAATTTCTTATAGGACCATCATTTAGAATTTTAAAATACTTTAACAAATTTTGTCACAACCAAGCACAAATAGCCCTCGTATTAATTGTGGTTTTACTAGATGTTTGTTACTTCTGAAGTTCCCCTAAACTGATGTACAGTGAGGCAGCCTGTATATATCAGTTGAAATAAAATATGAATTCAGTATGTTTAATGATATTTCTGTCTCTTTTTTAGTGGATCAGATGTTCTGGGAAGTTATGCAGCTGAGAAGAGAGATGTCACTAGCAAAACTTGGCTATTACAAGGAAGAGCTCTAAATCTTTTTACTCTTGCGCATGCATGAACTTCATTGAATATACATAACTAAAATTGCTGAATCTTTTTTTTGTCACTTGATATTTATTTCCACGAAGTGGGTCCAAGATCTTTCTCCTTTTGCAGATTGCACTAAGAAGTACTGTGATTGTTTTAAACCGACCTATGCTGTATATGCATACATATAATACTTAGTTGAACAAATGTGGTAAGCACTTGCAGGTGTATTAGTGATTGTAATTTCCATTTAAAAACAAAACTTCTGATTAAAGTGTTAGTCTGAAACAGTGTCTGTCTTCTGTTCGTTGTGATGCAGAATGATATGAACCTCTCTGATAAGTCATTCCAAAATGTAAAACTGAGATGATTTTATGAAGAGGGAATAAATGCCTGACATTTTCTTCATTGTAATGTTTAGATACTTGTATGTATCTCTCTATGCATGTATGCCAGTACAGATAACAGACAAATAGGAGAACCTGGAATTATTTGAAGTGCTGCTTTCCTATATTTTTCATTTTTAAATCAATGTAAGAAGAGAAACATACACAGTGAAGACTCAACAGTGTAATAAATCTGGGTATCTTCTCTCTAAAGTAGGGTGTTTTTCAAACATCACGGAACAGTAAAATTACCTTGGTCACTCTTTGGTTAGAAATCTGTCCTGACCCCTATCTGACTGCTAAAAACTTTCTCTTCCCCTCTAGTTTTCTTTCATTAGAATTTTTTCATTCCTTTAAATGATCCCCCCCCCCCCCCGTCTTTTTTGGGGATTTCCAGTTTCGAATTTTTATACATTAATTTCCCACAGCTGTCCTTGAAACTGGAAAGTATCCATTATGTGATTTCTCTAACATGTTGATGGTAATTTCTGTGTAATGTTATTGGTTTCTTCACACATGCAGTTTGCTACAAAGAGAACCCAAAACAGGATCATGGCTTCTTAAGGAAGATGCTTTTTTCTGTTGAAGTGCTTCTTGGGCACTTCAAGTTCAAGTGGTCCTTTTTCCCTGGACATAGTCGAAGCTGGAAGCAGACAGTTGATTAGGTTACAATGGACATAGCTGTGGGTATGTACTAGACTTGCTATGTAAAAGCCCTTTTGGATAAACACCAGGTCTTGATGATGACAGCTGTTTAACAATTACAGATAAGATTAAAGGATTGGCAGGTAAACTGACAAACATTAGAAGTAAAGGCAAGTTTAAGTTTATGTAAGTTGGTTCTTTAACAAGAAGCATCTCAGTGGATACAGATTTCTTTTGTTTGATGCCGAACAAAACCAACACTATTCATCACTGCCTTACTGCAGTGTTCTGTTTTTACAAAAGTAAATAGAATGAGCAGTGAAATTTAATACCGTACTTGTGTTGCTTGCATGTGTATGTGCCTGAAAACACTTTGCAAGCATTGGCCTTGACCAGGCATTTCAATGTTGAGATTAAAACAAACAACTGAACCTAAGTATTTTACAAGTAATGGAGTATGTCCAGCCTTGGCTATTTCAGTATTGATGAAATATTTTTATTAATCTCCTATCACTGGATACTACTTCTTATTGTAGAAAGCTGGAAGAATTCTACCTTAAATTGTTAAAGGGTTGTTTATTCTTTCAGTAATGCTAAGGAAGTCTGGTTTTACTCATTCCTAGAAAACAAACTGTATTTGTTGGTACTGTGTTTTATGTTAGGCTCATAAATGCTTCCTAAATGAGTGTTAATCCTTAGTTTACATAATGAAATCAAACCATTTCTAGGATTAGCTAACAGTAGTTAAATAATAGCTGGTAGCTGCTGCTATTCTGACTTAATAATCCTTTACAAGTGCTGCTCATTCAAGCAGAGAGAAGGGGTCCTTTCTACACAAATCGTATCTAAAGTTTATTACACTGAGGTGATTTTCTCATACTAGGGACTACAAAGATGTACCCAATGTATCTCGGTGGTGATGACTGTTTGACTTGATTACATCAATGTCTCGTAAATACTGATCGGCTTGCTTCTGTCTTCAAGTCCCTTCCCTCAAATTCTTATTTTTAATATAAGCTGCCTATCATGAGAAACCTGTGTCACTGTGAGCATCTGGAGCATGTAAAAATTGCGCAACAGTTACTTGTCTGGTGCATATAACTCTTTCAGAAAATGGTCTTATTCCAGACTTCTTGACTCCATTGAAGCCTTTATTCACAACCAAATGCTTCTTACAGATGCCTTCTCAAAATGTCTGAATATTTTTCTCCTGTTTGCTTAGGGGTGATGGAACAGGGGCAATTTTCAGTGTACAAAGATCAATTTAAAGAAAGTGAAATAGGGTTTGCTACTAGCCTTAAAAGACCTTTGTTCAATGTTCAGTTTTTGCATATGTGTTTTTCAATGTTACCTTAGACAAACAGTTTAATCTGTGATTTTGTTTTGTTAATAATATAGAAGTTCGGCTTCCCTGTAATCAAATTGCTGTGTGATACAGTTTTTTTTTAGAGTAGTTGGATAGTCTGACGCTCAGCTGCTTAAATGGGATAGTGCATATGGTGAAACTGGTGATGGCTTTGCTCTTGCCTTTTTGATTACTATTGCTTTCATCAGTAGTATTAATTACATCACCTGTGTGAAAGTACAGAGACAAGATAAGTAATTTTTATTGCTGCATTTTTTGCGCATGTGTAATCATAGTTAGTACTGGGACCAAAGGTCCTTAAAACAAGAGCGTTAGACATACTGAACGGAAGAACGCACATCACCTTCATCCTGCCTCAGAAGCCTTGTCATATTCTCCTTTACGTGTAGCAGAGTTTAAGTACAGCCCTGGCTCTAGTTATGAAGGAATGAAATCAGCTGGGACAAAGTCATTGAAACCTCCGACAAAAACATTACATGTTCCTTGGCACGTTCATGATCATCTGGAAGAGAGACGGTGTCTTTTTCTCAGTGGGACTCTTCAAGCAGTAGGAAGGCAAAACACTTCTACTGGCTTTTCATGGATGTGGTGGGAGAAAATGAGGCCTTGCAGCAGTTCTTTGAAGGTAAGAGTCAAGTTTTAAGAGAGAATCTTAACAATTTCTGGTGGCAGCAAAAAATACAGTAATTGTTTGGGGTTAACTGAAGAGGAAAAAGAGCCCCCAACCTCAAAGCTCCGTTTACACGAAGCTATCGTGTAAGGCGATACCAGAGTGAAATAGTACAAATGGTACAGATGCACTGCAGTGCCTTTTTCTTTGTACTTCGGCCAGAAGAACAACGGGAAGGTGGACCCAGCAGTGCCTGCAGTACTGCCGTGGTAACTGCCAGGAAGAAAAACCGGGAAGTAGCTGAGGTTTCCTTGCAATTTATCACTTCTGAAATCTTAGAGGTTTTCATGAGGTTAGAGAACTCCCTCCTTGCTCTATTGTACCATGCCAGGTTAAAGAGCGTTTTCTTTCTACTAACATTCTGAAACAACCTGATTATAATTGGTAAAATGGTAACTGTGGCAGTATCCTCAGGATCCTTCTGAGAAGTTAAACTCAGATTTTTTTTTTTTTTTGTCTTTTGGCTGGGATCTGTCCTTCTGCCTTTTTCCCCAAGACATCTCACATTCAAGTAAAGTCCCATTAGTTTCCTGCCTTTCCCTTACCACAAAATTTACTTTCTAATAGATCCTGCAATCAAACAGCATTTCTCAGACCCTGCCATCATGTGATTCAAAATGGCTGTTCAAAGACTTTCGTATTTTTTTACTATTTTACTAAATCTTTTCTTTCCCCTTCTTTCAATTTACACTTTGCTTTTTTTTTTTTTTTTAAATATATATATTAACCATCCACTTCCAAGCTTCTCTTTCTGCATTTGTTTTCCTTCTATTAGCTGTGCAGGTATTCACGTGATACTGATCTCAGAGTAACATGGAAAACTATCTTTTCTGTTTTGGATAACATGGACAATTTTTGTTTCCCTGCATTTAATTTGTTATGCTAAATAAGTTTTTTTTTTTGTTGTTTTCCCCTTCTCCCTGGCACTCTGGCCTAGGTGAAAGATGGCAACTCTAACTTTTGAGTTTTGATTTCAAACTAGGAAATTAAAGATTCTCTAGCATTGATCAAGAAAATGTATTTAAGCCAAGAAATTTTAATCAGTGAACCACAATCTAGGGTTGCTAGCCAGCAGATGTGTTGTTTACAGATGTTAGGGAATTCGTACCATGTTTCTTAAGTTCACTTTAAGTCATGGAGATCAAAAGCTAACAAACTTCCTTGGCTTTGCTTTCAGCAAGATGTTTATTTTTATCAAGCTGTTTGTTCAAGTACTGCACTGTATGGCTGTTAAATACTTAAAATAGTGTTGGACACAAATTATATAAAAAAAAAATCTCATTATCAAGTTTTTAGGAACTGACTTGGAAAACAGGACTCTCTAGGGAGTTTGGGCTAGGTTCTGTTGGCTTTTGTGACAATGATACCTGGGAAGATATCTCAGGTATTTTAGCTGTATGAGCTCTTTAGAATTACTAACTGTAATTCTAGAATTACTAATTTAACTCTTTTTAGAAGGTAGTTTGGTAGAACATCTGTCTGGGCCAGCATGAGGGGGAGAAGCCCTGTCAATTCCATTTAATTGCAGGAAAAAGAAACATCTTAGGAGGTTACGTTCCTTCAGTAATGTGTGGTTCTGCTGTGTAGTGCTAGCATATGACAAAGGTCTGCTAGCGCAATGCAGTGTGCAGGGATGCTGTTAGATGGCTCAATTTCATTATCTGGAGACTGAGATTAGATACGTGTCAAGGCTACAAGAGCTAATCATTCAGCATGTAGTAGCTAGGCTCCTCTTGCTGTTAAACCATAGGCAAGTCTGAAAATGGAGCAAGCTGATTTAAAGCAGGGTTTGCACTCTTCAAGCAGGGGTTAGCTGCATTGAATGAAAGGCCAACTTTAACTGATGGCCTCTCTCCAGCTTAGCACTACGGCTTGTGGGTTGGCTTTATGCCACCTCATGAGGCAAGAGCAATAAACTGCTAGTTCTAACTTGGTGGCCTCTGAGATTAGTCACAGCAGGGCTAGAACATTGTCTTTCAAGGCTTCAAAAAAAGCTGAGTCCTGCAATATCAAGTGGAGAATGCCGCCACTGAAGAAGTCTCTCTCCTTCGTCAGTGGTTCAGTTTTGACTTCCAAATGCATCAGCTGGGTAACTCAGCACATTCATAGATCGGTTTTGTAAGATTATTTGAACTTTATGAGCAAAAAGGATCTCATTTTCCCTGTTGCTTTGGCTCCTTACAGTGCATATTTGTTTTGACACTCATTAGTAAGATAAACTCA